TCACCGCGTCAAAAAATAAAGTGACTTCCACAAAGGCTGTCTTGTTACTCACCTTTGTAGATAAATCTCTTAGATTTGGCTATTGTCCTTTGTCTCAACACCTTGCCGTGGATGAGTAGCTGTAAAGTGAAGACGTGTTTTGATGTGAGCGGGTGGCACCTCCTGTTACGCTGATGATTGTGGCATATTGTGCCGAGGATGTTGGAGTCTGAGGGAAACACAGAGCTTATTAAAAAATACTCTTGAAATCAGCCAGGCTTTATTCCCTCGACATTAGATTAACAAGGGGCACTGTGGTAGTAATCCACCTTGTGCATTGCCAGCATTCCCTTCAGAGGACCTGAACTCTCACACATAGAGATCTCCTATGCCCCCTCTATCCACACGCATGTCATCACGTCCGTATTTCTGCTATAGTCATTTGTGCTTCCTGTTTGCTCCCCTATGCCCATTTAAAAATTGTGAGACAGAAGGAAATGTTAGGCTATTTTGGGCATGAGACATCAGATGCTGTGGTTTTTGGGCAGACTGGAGAGGGGGCAGTGTGTTTCCCCTGGCTGTCTAGTCTTACTTTTACAGTAAGGCTGACTGCTCACTGTGAGTGGGTGTCTGTAAGCAATTAGCATCATAAAGAGGAAGAGAGGCCTCTCCCCCATGCCTCCCAGCGTGACGACACCTCTCCGCCAGCCAACCCACTGTTACATTTTTTTTCTTTCTCTTTCCATATCACTTGCTCTCTTTCTCCAGGTGTTTTTGATACAGACAATCTCAACCGTCCCAGTGTTCGCTGATACTCTGTGTTTTCTGACTTGTATATTTGTCTGGCCTGTCTGGCTGATTCATGTAGATGTCTCTGCGGCAGTGCAGAGTGGGGGAGGAATGGATAGACACATTTGTAAGGGTCTACTCTGTTAGTACTTTAAGCAGTTTGTTTTAGAGTGCTTTTAAAGCTCGGAGTTTATTTATTGTTAAATGGTTTGTAAAGGTGACTAAAGTGGACCGCCTGCGTCATTCTGTCTGTGCTTGCAGCCTGGCACCCAGCCCCGGCCCCAGTGGGTCAGGGGAGCTGTGTTTTACAACAGGAAATGGCATAAACGTCACAAAGCGACGGGCGCAGTAGAGCCAGGCTACATATGGAATAGTATTTACGTTATAGGAAATTATGGATGGAAGTGGTGTCCTTGGGTAATCATAGCGCCATGGCAATTCCCTGGTATTTAAAGTGATCTATGATCTAATCTTTTATAATATATTTAGCTGATCATCAGGAAAACGTTGTCTTTTGCAGGGTGAATGCTTTTATCCTTCTTTCTTACTTTCTTTTTCTTGATTCCGTTTTAGACGCTTAACATAAGAAATAAAACTCATAGAATACAATAATATAATGTATTAATTTGAACTAAGTTTATATAATTCATTATCAGAATCAGGAATCCTTTATTAGTCCCACGTGGAAATGTATAGTGTTACAGCAAAAAGGGGCATAGCAGGTAAAAAAGGCATGCAATAATAAAGAATAAGCGAAGTTATTAAATATATATTTAAATAACTTCTTTGTTTTGAATCAAGTGACACAGCAGCGCTGTTGCTGTCTCAGATGACACAGATCAAACAGTTCCTCTCTCATTGATTAAGCCTCAGACAAAGAGTCTGTAACAGACGAATATATCACTGATGATGTTAGCGCGGAGTCTTGTGAGCCAAATGCCAGAGAATGATTCACTGCTGCTGATTGCTGACAGTTTATGTCATGGTTTCCCCCGGTTCAGCTGCCTACGATTTTTCCATTTCATTGACCTGCTTAAACAACATCTGGACTTTTCTAAACCATGCTTCCCTTTTTGTTTTTTTTAATTAAACATTTCCCACGTTAGAGCTGACATTTCTTGGATGAAATGTCCCTCCATTCCAGATTGTAAAAGCTGACATCATTCAAACTTGCCAAAATGACATCAGGAAACAGTGGTATTTATCAAGTTTAAAGAAAACAGGGTCTTGAATCTCCAGACAAGTTCAAATATTCAGAGGAAGCTTAGATCTTTGCCAAAAATGTGCTGAGTGGGGTATAAAAGAGTTGTCGTGGGCAAAGCTGGGTAGGAGGGTCGGGCACACGAAGCTGGAGGAGGAGGGAGAGGGGGTGAGCTTTAGGGAGCCTGCCACAGAAAAGGGGTGGATTGAAGGAGAGATTTAGTGTTGGGACAGGCACATGGTCGTTGGGGGTGGATAGAAGGAGAAAGGGGAAAGAAGGAGCCGTGGATCTGAGTTCAAACTGCAAGCTGTGTTCAGAGAGAGAGCAGGAATGTGGCTCAGCGTGGGAATGAAGATGCTCTGACATGTTGAGAGACACTCGTAAGTTTTGAAGGATATAGGAAGCGCTCTGGCTGTATCATGAAAATATCCCGTAAGTACACAATAATTAGTTACCGGAAATTAACCATAGTGTAGGCTGATTGAAGGATTTTAGAGAGTAGACATATTAAGACCTTTGCTTCAGGGATGATGGCTTGTTTTAAACCCAAAAGAATGAATCTTGAATTTGTTTTGTTTAGCTAAAGAGTATTAAAGGAAGAGGATTATTGTTTGTCATGAAGCATTGCTGTCAGATTCAGTACAAAACAACAACAAAGCATATCAAATCCTTGAAAGTTTTACCGATATTGTTGTTAAATATTTTGTGAAAGAGTGGAATGTGAACAAGCCTTTAAAGCTGTCAGAATTCTGGCATTGCCCAGCCCGAGCACTATCCAAGTGTGCCATATCTTTTCCTGCGGCACTTTGCAACATGTCATATCTCGGCAATGAATTACATAACCAATGTTGTTCTTGATAGTGAACATAACATAAAGTGAATTCTAAAAGAAGGAGTTGCCCTTGCCTCAGATATTTTAGTCGTACACAGCTTTGACATTGTGGGCCATTGTGTGTCACGGCCAAACTGGGTTTCACCTCTTTGCGCAACTGTAATTTTATACTGTACACAGTTTTAAAGCTGTGTGTTGTGGAGAGCAAACACAAGTTCTCATTCTCTGGCATTATGCCCACCCAGCCTTTTATCCACAAGAGATTTCCTTAGAGAGAGGATGAGAGGACAGAATGTCTCGGTATCGTGTTACAGAATGCCAAACAGAGAGGAATTCCCAGATCATGTTACTTCTAGTGGTCCAACCTGAGGCTGTGGGACACAAGAGGACCTGGCAGCGCCCTCACTGTGGGCTGCAGATGAAAAACACAGGCCCGATATCATCCACCTGGGAGGGAAGCATAGTTGCTTCTGGTGATACAGGTGGGAACAGAGCAGAGTGGCTCCTGGCTGCCTACACATGTTTACTTAACTGCTGGATAACGGGGTAAACAGTGGACCTTTTCTGTAATCCAAGGACACAGGGAACTGTTAATATTTATTCAGTTGCTGGTGAAGACCAAAGTCACTTTTCATTGATTTCTCTGGGACACAGATGTGAAGCAGCACAGGTGAGTCTGCCTGGTTCAACAGTTTTTGTAAAACGGGTGATAGCAGTATCTTCATTGCAAAGGTTACGGTCGCTGTAATTACGCAGTATTGTGTGATGAATGGCCGCGGTTCATGTTTCTGTAGTGTGACAGGCACAGACACGGAGTGGAACTGAGACCTCAGATGTGTGATGGGAGAGCAGTTTGTTATCTAGAGATGCAGCTTGAAGAAGCTTTCCTTGGACGGGATGTTTTTGTGGATTCTCTTTAAAAAAAAGAAACGTAAACACAGGTGTGTGTGTGAAACGGGAACATTATAAACTTTGTGGACTTTTAAAGAACTACTGGAACTGGTAGGAGCTTTTTAACGTTGCATTTAATGCCTCTGCATTTTATTTTTTACATTTATTGATTTATGCTGATGGAAATAATTGCTTGTCTATGTATCCCCTCTTGCCTGTTTTCAGATTTAGTTTTTGTACAGAGCAAGATCTTATTTTATCATCAAATTAAATATCAGTGTATTTTCCAACTCATTCATTTATTGTTTAGAACATCACGACTAAGTAAAAAAAGACAGGGGTTACTATCTCTTTTATTATTGTAGAGAAATGTGGAAAGCAAAATATATTTATTTACACCTTCTTTTGTCAGTAATGGGAAACCCTCTCCAGATATAATTTTTAAAGTACATTTGGGAGAATGTGAACGTTTGCTTCTTCCTTCGTTTTGTATTTCTTTCTTGCTGTTGCTGTTTATGAAACATAATTATATATGTTGTTTCTTAAAGTGAAGCAGATTGTGTACTGTAGCACCAGTGTGTCAGACTTCATGTCTCACAGAGACGATAAATGGCACCCGTCTTTATTAGCATTAATGGAAAGGTGCCAAACGGTCTGTTTCCTCTGCTTGTCATCGGCGGCTCTGAAGCCTGCAGACGAATCTGTAGGTCAGAGACTGACCGATCGGAGCTTTGTTTGCCAGAAAGTCAACGCGATATCTTGCTTAGACTAAAAAGGAAAAAAACAACTCAAAATACATTTAAACCTGATATCCAGTTGTTATATTTCTTTAATTGTATTGTTGTGTCAAAATTACTTTCCTCCTTTTAAACATGCATTTTTGAATATGGTTTTGTTTCTAGCGCTGTGTTGTGATGTCGCTGTTTCATTACGTATTATACCCCTTAAAGGTTTCAATATCTTGTTGTATCGTTCACATTGCTTTAATAGTAAATGGTCTGTAGACGGAAGTTCCCATGTTTCTTCATGTGAGTGAGCTTGGAAACATCCTCTCTGACTGACTGGTCGTCATCTCATCCGTGCTATCTCAGGAAAATCAGATGGGGTTGGGGGGGGGGGGGGGGGTCCAGTTAGAGAATTCAGATCTGTCCATCCCAAGTCTGTGTTTGTAGGATTCCAGGTGCAGAGGCTTTCTTGTACTGCTTTGGTTAATGCTCCAATGTTTTTTGTTAAAATGGAAATTGCCTAATGTGGTTGGGTTTCACTTTTTTATCCTTGTATTAACACATACATTTTCTTGTGTTTCAGAAATCGAGGCGAAAGAGGCGTGTGACTGGCTGCGTGCGGCAGGATTTCCCCAGTATGCTCAGCTCTTTGAAGGTAATAAAAGCACTCAGGGCACTCCCACCACACGCATTCATCACAAAGGTGGCGGGGTGTTGTTTGGTAAAAAGATAGAGATTAATGAACTAGCACACCAATAAAAAGGTCTCTGTAATAAACCAAAAACATCTTTCTTTGTTTTATTGCAGCTTTATTTATATCTGTTTTATATCAGACAAAACACTATTCGAGCTTGAATGGGAGCTTTTTAAAAGGATGACTGAATAATGGTACACTGCCATCTGGTTTGTCACCCTAGTTTCCAACACAGTTCACAAAGCTATGTTTTCATGGGCTGCATACTGAGCCTTTTTTATCAACTGTCCTCAGGATGCCTCGGAGCTAGGGCTCCAGTCAGATCCCCAGACACCAGAACACAGGCGAATATTGGCTGTCTAATCTTTTCCAGGCTACAACATAAACATGTCTTCTGTGCTTAAATACTGAAGTCATGGCAATAAATTGGTTTTGTCTGAGCTTAAAATAGCTTTCCTCCCTCAGATCTTTGTCAAGGTCAGACTTTTCATGTGCTTAGGGGCTATATATTTGTTTGCTGACGGTTTGTTGGTAGTGATAACATACTGTAGCTCAAGCAATGTTCGCTGATAATGAATGATAAAAGACTGAAAAGCAGAAAACATGAGCTTCATTCCTGATGATTGGGATCATGTATTAGGAAACTTCATTATGGGGAAATCTGTTATCAGGACGTATTAGCGTTTCAAAGCCTACAGTATATGTGAATGTCTGCCCCCCTAAAGAACAGGCAAAGCCTTGTTGAGGTCTAAGCATTCGCTGCTGCTTCTGCTTTTCATAAAAAGTTAACAACTTCACATGAATGCTGTGGAATGCTAGATTCAGAGGGTCTGGATTCAGTCTCTTAAGTTATGTAAGAGGAGGCCCATACTCAGAGGAAGACGTAATGCCTGCACAAGCCCGAGCGCTGTTATCTGAGCAAATTCTGTCTTTTCTCATTAGCATCACATACAAAAGTTTGATGGTCTCCCAGCCTTCAATGTGCTTCTGGAAAGAATGTGGTTTCCACATCTTTTTATTCATTAATTCTGTGGACACTGTCTGTAGGAGAACTACTGAAAAACCAAATCAAATGTCAGCTCTGACAATTGTTATGCTTCTTTTTCTTCAGATTCCCAATTCCCCATTGACATAACCCCTGTGAAAAGAGATCATGACTTTCTGGACAAAGATCTCGTGGAACCTCTGTGCAGGTAACGACACGTTTGACTCACACTGAGAAGACGGTGGCTCATACATGAGTCAATGCTACAAATAATTTCCTTGCCGTAGGGAAACTGAGATATATATATATAGTGTACAGCACTTTGGCTCGACCAAAAATCGTTTAAAAATGTGCTATATAAATAAAACTTGATTTGATTTGATATGGAAATCCATGTCAGTGGTTTTGTGTAAACATTTAGGCATCTGGAGTGCCTAACTGTTAATTAAGACTCATTCAGATGTGGCTAAAACGTAGACTAGTGTCTAGATATTCTCTAGTCTAGTAATAACCCAAAAAACAAGTGTGTCGAAACTAAATGGTAAGCCTGATATTGATTTAATAAACTCATTAACTGAACTAACAGAATTTGGAGGAACTTTCTTTTCTTTAAGATTTTGAGATTCACTAATAATAAGACTATGCATATTTTTCACACCTATAAAAGAACTGCACTTAGCCTACAACTGGTGGCTTCACATCTTTCCCTTGAAGGACAAGATGGCTCATGTAGTTTTTTAAATCGAGATGAAAACAGCACTTCAGTTACCATAGTAACCATAGCAACCATCCCAAGAGCGAGGGAGGGGGGGGAGCATGAGGCATGCCTCACACAGCTCAATATACTGTGACTCTAAACAACCCTAAAGCATCCCATCTAAATTCCAAACTAGCCACGGGATAAATTGGAGACAATTGGAAACAGTTCCACCTCCAATGTGATTTTGCCCATGACTTCCGAGCATCTCTATGGTAACATAAGGATGGCTTTGTTGTCAGTTACGACACCAAAGTCTAGTGTTCAAAAATAAATACCTTATGGGTGTCTGAATGGAAACTGATAGATATTTCATGTATGTGAGTGCTCTCTCTGATCCCTGGCTAAGCAGCCTCCCATTTTAGCCACCACATTCAAAGCTCTTTAGGCCCTTGGAATAAAGGGGCCCCAACTTAAAAATCCTCTCTTCAGCTGGGTCCCACTATCTCCGGTAACAATCATGAGAACTTCGTGTTTGGCTAACCCCTGTCGTCTGCAGCACGAGGGTATAGTTAAGGCCTCCATCTGAGGTCATTTACTGTCTCAGAACAATACTGTCAATCTGTGTTGTAGATAGTAATATATGGAGCTTGTGATTATCATACCACAAAGGAGTTCCTTTTGGTTTAAAGCCAAGGCACAGTGAGCTAATTGTACTCCGTCATGCCGTCATCTTTCCCCCCTGTTCTATTATTGGTCCTGTAGCGTTTTTAGATATTACATTATATATCCCAGTTTGTACACCCACAAAACCTCTAACCACAAAGAATATGCTCCAAGACGTAGACTGTATGTTTTTATCCAAATATCGAAAACATTTCATTGCTTCTCTGACAACCAAGTTTAGGGCATCTGCATTTAAGGCAAATATGCAATGTTATTGTTTTTTAACGCAGCAGAAAGCTATTACAGACTGCAGTTTTGTTTAGCTTGTGTGAAACACGATTGATGTAGTAACCCCTCGTAATTCCCCCCAAAAACGAGTCGACTGCAAAATGTTATTAAAGACTGGTGCAGGTGCAGGGCTGTGATTGAAACATAAATCTCACTAATTCATTGGTTTGCCTCAAATTCATCCTTCTGAACTACAGCACACCACCTTTGAAGCCACAATCACTTAGATCCAATGCTGAGAGAGATAACAGAGCAACCGTCAATTACCGGTGTTCATTAGGTTAAGGATATTCAGGCACTGACTAACTGAATTTCCCTCTGAGTCTGTCTGTACATCCAGACCTGCCGCTGATCTGGTTAAGATATAAATAGCAAATAGAATGGGATTTATTTCTGACGTGGTCATTAGGAAGCTATTCTAGGTTTTTCTCTTGTTGGTCCAGAACTGTTTTCATCATTGGGCCATTTTTAAGCTTGTACAAAGTGCAGATGCCCAGCATTTAAGGAACACTAAAAGACAAGAACACACCAGTCCTGTTTACCGGTTACTAGTGGGTTTTAGAGTTTATTTTAAAACGTTACTCATTACTTTTACAATACACTTTTGTGTATTTCATTTCCAGGTTAAAGTTTTTTGCTCTTGTTTTAATAATGTAAAGCACTTTATCACTTTAAAAGGTTCTGTGTTTATAACATTTCTAATTATTTCTTTCAGGCGACTCAACACCTTGAACAAGTGTGCTTCTATGAAACTTGACGTGAACCTTCCTAAGAAGAAAGTAAGTGTGGATTCTACATTTCACGCTTTTTCATCAAAAGGATGCTTCTGTAGTCTATTGCTTTTAAGGTGGATTGTTATATGAAGTGTGTGTGTGTGTGTGTGTGTGTGTGTGTGTGTGTGTGTGTGTGTGTGTGTGTGTGTGTGTGTGTGTGTGTGTGTGTGTGTGTGTGTGTGTGTGTGTGTGTGTGTGTGTGTGTGTGTGTGTGTGTGTGTGTGTGTGTGTGTGTGTGTGTGTGTGTTCACCTCTGAGGGTTTTTTTACACCTTGGAAAGCTTTTTTCCTTGACTCAAATATCACAATTGTCATGTCAAATTTGTAAGAAATAGAATACAAATTCCAATGCCTTCATAACAAAATTGTTTTTTCTTAAGTTATGAATATACTTCACCACACAAATGGAATCTGGTTTCAGCTTTTCCTCCAACACTGATATTCGAGATTGTACCATTGTTGTGTTCATACCTTTTGAGAGGGATTTGTATCTCTCCCCACTTTGGATTGCAGCCTGCTGGCATATATTAATGATATTTTTCTTGCCTTGGTCTATTAATGGAAAAGTCTTTAAGTAAAGGGAATCATTTGTCTGGTGCTTTATCACTGTTGGTTGATTGTATAATGTTATTACTTCATAGCAGATACATCCTCCAGCCATTTCCTGCATTTCCTATTTAGCTGTTCATTGTGGATCAGATGATCTGTGTTATGTTTCACTGTATACATTATTCATTACCTTGCATACTGTAGTCAGCTGATGTTGTGAACAATACATTCATACTCAACCTTAACCCTTTTTAAAAGTGTTAAAAAATACAAGTTAATATTATTTTAATTATTTTGTGCGCATGTTCTCTTTAATTCATTTGTTTTTGTTTTTATTTAATTGGGTAACTACCTAAAAAGAAACACAACTACAAAGAAGTGTAAAATACCAAATTAAATCATGTAGGTCAGAGTAATTAATGCTATGTCTCTCCTCAGAGTGAAGACTCTGATGAAGAAGACCTGTTTGCTATCAGTGACAAATGGACCTTTGAGTGGAGCAGCCGGCGTTGGTCCAGGCTACAGGACACTGATTGTCTGCTGGGAGAAGGTCAGCCCTCCAGCGACGGCCTGCCTCTGAGAACCACCACCAGCAGCGAGAGTGTTCTGACTGACCTCAGCGAGCCAGAGATTTCCTCCCTGCACAGTGAGAGCAGCGGTGGCAGCGGCCACAGAGGCCTCAGCACAGAGGACTCTGACTGCTCCAACCGCACCGGCTCCGATTCTGCAGCAATGCCAGACTCTACTTCTCTCACAATGCCTCACATCCCCAAAGAAATTGCCCACTACGGCTCACTACCTAATAAGCATGGCAAGATAAGCCACACCCGTGCCAAAGACTTCTTGAAGCGCATGGAGACACTGCGATCCAAAGGAACACTGGGAAGGGGTCGTAAGTCATTGGTAATCGGCTCTCCGGTGCTGCAGCAGGAGGCCCAGGCACTGAAGACCCTGCAGTGTGTCGAGATCATTAATGGACATGCTGAAGCTCCAGAATTACCGCCCAACAAAGTTCAGCCGTCCCAGTCCAGTAGTGAGGGTAGCAGCCACTCTAGTGGCAGCGCTGTCAGCACACCCAGCCTAAAAGAGCGTAAACCTCACCGGGCTGACCACAAGCGGAGTGGCATGTATTTAGAGGACTTAGACATCTTCTCAGGCACCCAAGTGAATAAAGTTGCTGAACAAAACCGCAGGAATGAGTTCTGCTCTTATGAGGACCTGGTTGTCCACATTCCCAAAGACCACAAGCCAGGTACCTTCCCCAAAGCACTGTCCATAGAGAGCCTGTCCCCAACCAATGGGGCGTCTATCAACTGGCACAGAGGCAGCATGCACCTGGACTCCCCACTGATCTCATGCAGGAAGGAATCCAGACCTGTCACACAGTGCTGCTCCAGAGGCAGCCGCATCAGTGTGTATGATAATGTTCCTGGCTCACATCTGTACGCCAGCACTGGAGACCTGATAGACCTGGAGAAGGAAGACCTGTTTCCTCATCTAGACGACATCTTGCTGCACGTCAACGGTCTACAGCAGATAGTGGACCACTGGTCCAAAAATGTGTTGCCTGTGGGAGAAGGACTGTCACAGGCGGACAGCAAGAAGGAACATGAAGCAGGTCAACAGTCCTCCAGTCAGATCACATTGGACTTTGAGGGAAATTCAGTCGCAGAAAGCCAGACTACACCTAGTTACGGTGACAGAGACAGAGTATCACTTGCTGAAACCGAATCAACTGTCCTCAGGGAGAGGAGGGACTCAGGAGTAGGGGCTTCACTCACAAGACCTAATCGGTAAGACTAATGGTGTTAACAGTATTGAAATATTTGAAACAATACTAAGATTGTATTGAAATCTTATCTTAAATATTTCCTTTGCTGTTGAATTTTTCCTGGCATCAGGTTACGGTGGCCCAGCTTTCAGATATCTAATCGCCTAAGTCACTCAGTGGCGTCCCTGCAGATCACCAACCAGTCAGCAGGCCAGCTCAGTTTGTTGCAGAAGTTTTCTCTGCTGCGCCTTACTGCAATCATGGAGAAGTACTCCATGTCCAACAAGCACGGCTGGACCTGGTAAGTCTAATTCTAACATCCAACATCCACTTTTTAAGGATTGATTACATTTTTCTTTATCAGTGAAAGCACATTTTACATCATTTACCTCATTTTGTATGTAGGTTTTTTCTCTAATTATTTGATTAGTACAGTACACATCTTTCTTTGTGTACTATGGTATGAGCAGGCCTTAATGAATTACTAGAACCATATTCCCTTTTGGTATACACGCTCTTAATACTATTTTATTTTAAGTAAATGTGTTTTTCTTCATATCTTTTCTAGGTCCGTGCCAAAGTTTATGAAGAGAATGAAGGTACCAGACTATAAGGATAAGAATGTGTTCGGCGTGCCTCTCATAGTGCATGTGCAGCGTTCTGGGCAGCCGCTGCCCCTCGGCCTGCAGCAGGCCCTGCGGTACCTGAGGAGCCAGTGTCTTGACCAGGTATGACAAAGTACTTGAATTTTCACATGTGAAGTAACAAATGATTGACTTTATCTACTGTGTATAATGTGGTGGACGTTTTCCAAAAGATTATTACACAAATTGTAAGCAGACAGATACAATTGTCAGTGAGCGAATACTGCTGCCAGCTGTCAAGTTAACACGTCTGTTTTGCTTCCAGGTGGGTCTGTTCCGTAAATCAGGGGTGAAGTCTCGAATTCAAGCGCTCAGGCAGATGAATGAGAATTCTCCAGACAATGTGAACTATGAGGATCAGTCTGCCTACGATGTGGCTGACATGGTGAAGCAGTTCTTCAGGGATCTACCTGAGCCTTTGCTCACCAGCAAGCTGGGGGAGACCTTTCTCCATATCTACCAATGTAAGGACATGAATCTGTCCGTGCTCTCGTCATGTGTCAGATTTAAAAGTTAGTGTCTGACTTGGTTTTCTTTAAATCCGGAGAGCAGTGTGGATTTGCACCTATTCCCTCTTGTATTACTTAAGATATAGGATATATACTGTATAAGAGATAATATAAATCAATTTTCTCATATGTGCAGATGTACCGAAGGACCAAAGGCTGCAAGCTGTCCAGGCAGCCATCATGTTGATGTCAGATGAAAACCGGGAGGTGCTGCAGACACTGCTCTGTTTCCTCAGCGATGTGACATCCTCTGTGGAGGAGAACCAGATGACACCCATGAACATTGCTGTGTGTCTGGCCCCCTCCCTCTTCCATCTCAATATACTCAAGAAAGATAATCTCTCACCAAGGTAATTTTTCTTGTATTTTGTATGGGGAGCATTGCATGCCATTCTGTTCCTTAAAAAACTAGTAAACAAGACATGCATGCTTTCTATTAATTCCTGCATGATTATCTTCACCTATTACTCCATAAAGATACACATACAAATGGGTTACAGAGTCTGCTCAACCCTCAGGGGCGCAGTAGATTGCTCTCTTTCTGGGAAGATTTTTAAAAGGCCATGGCACTTTTTTGAAACCCCATGTTTTATGAGACCATGCTGTGTACAAACAAAGCAAAGCTCTCTCATTTATCATGTTGAAATTGTTGTTAAAAGGATCAAAGGGGTTTCCTGCAGAGCGGAGGAAGAGTTTATATACTGCATTTGGTGGGGACTTTGACCCGTGGACTCTACTGGCCTAATAAGCATTCTGTCTCCCCAAAATCCCCAGGGCCATGCGGAAGAAGTATGCCACTGGCAGACCAGACCAGAAGGATCTGAATGAAAACCTAGCAGCAACACAGGGCCTCGCTCATATGATAGTAGAGTGCAACCGTCTCTTTGAGGTACAAGAACCTGTAGTTGTAATAATACAAGAATTTCAAGCCTGGATGCAATATCCCCAGGCCTCCTTCTATATTTGCTGTGAATCTTACCGCATGCTTTTATACACCCATTAGATCCCTCATGAGATGGTTACTCAGTCACGTAATTCATATGTGGAGGCTGACTTACATGCACCAACAATTGAGGAGCTGTGCAAGCATCTGGAGGATCAGGATGGAACGTACCACACTCACATGGAGGGGAGGCTTCAGAACCAGATCAAAGAGGCCCGGGAAAAGTCCAAATACTGGGTGTCCTGCAGTAGCTCTGATAACACAGAGCTCTCCTATAAGAAGGTTGGTGCTCTACCCATTGTAGAGTTCATGATGTTTATTAAACCTCAAATAAATATTGATATCTCTTTTTACAAGTAACAAGTTAATAATTATCATAAATAATGCAAACACATATTTTCAAGTTATTAAAAACTCTATGACCTTATACATTTTTTATTATTAATTTATCATCAGATTTATATTAAGTTTAATGAATCAGTCATTATTTGTATTATTCGTTTTTACTTCTTGTTTACATTTCTTACATTACATTCTTGTTGTCATTTAGCGTTTGTTTTATTTTTCTAAATGATGCTAGCTTAGTCGGTTGAGGGGGGGACTGTTTTGTAAGCCTGTGTCTTCATGACCTCTCCTGTTATTTTCTTTCATATTTCATGCATATATGTGTGCAAATAAAGGTTTTCTCGTGTTTCTCCAGGTGGGAGATGGGAACCCTTTGAGACGCTGGCGAGTGTCTGTGGAGGTGGAAGCCCCACCATCTGTAGTCTTGAACCGTGTGCTACGAGAGCGCCACCTATGGGATGTGGATCTGCTGCAGTGGAAAGTGTGTGAGACACTGGACAAGCAGACAGAAGTGTTTCAGTATGTCCTCAACCGCATGCCCCCTCATCCCAGCAGGGACTTCGTAGTACTTAGGTGAGTGGTAAATAAAAAAAGAGACTCAAAGCAAAATATATATTTTCTTTAGTGAAATGCTATAATGTGTTTTTCTCTTAGGCCACATACTCAATCTCTTTCTGTTTATTCAAGGTCTTGGAGGACAGACTTGCCCAAAGGTGCCTGCTCCCTGGTTTCTGTGTCTATAGAGCATGAGGATTGTCCGCCTGTGGGAGGGGTACGCGCTATAGTACTGGAGTCCAACTACTTGCTGGAGCCCTGCGGCTCAGGAAAGTCGAGGCTCACTCACATCTGCAGAGTGGACTTGAAGTGAGTCCCACAAAAATCTTAATGAGATATAAAATCTCAATAACTTCAAGGTTTTTAGCTTTTAAAGAGGACAAATTACGCTCATTTTCAGATTTATATTTATATTTTTTGCTTCTACTGTGACATGTTTACATGCTTTATTGTTCAAAAAGTGCTTTATTTGTCTAATACTGCCTGTGCTACAGCACCTCTTTTCACCCTCTGTCTGAAACCAGAGGCAGCCTAACTGATGGTTAGCTGATCAACCACTTAGAGATGTGTCAGAAATGTCCTGACCCTTAGCAAATCAAGTGCAATGTGTTGGAGCGCTAGCCGATAGAAGTGCTAGTGTTACATAGTGTAAAGTAAACCAAGAACTCCAATCAATTTGATTCGGGACAAACTACAGGAAAGAGAAAACCCAAGCAAATGGGGCCTCTTTGATACTTGAAAAGTACACCTATACATTTCTACGTGTGATATTTGCATTTTTAAGATAATAATTTAATGAATTATTACCATTGAAGCTCCTTTCAAAGTATATTATATTAAATGTACTGTTTTTTTGTTTCAGAGGAAGGACTCCAGACTGGTACAACAAAGCCTTTGGTCACCTTTGTGCCGCAGAAGCTGCCCGGATACGCAACTCCTTTCAGCCGCTAATCGCAGACGGCCCGGAGACCAAAATCTGAAACTCTTTGCCAAGTGTGTCTGCTCAGCCTTGAGATCAAGATTGAGCCTTTGAGTCATTGCTTACATGCAGACACAAAGCATAGACAGGACCCCAGAACTAAAGCACAGTTTATTCTTTTATTTCCAGAGTAAAAACGCTCTGAAAATAAATTTGAGCTCCTCTGTACTTGCACAATGACAAAAGAGGACATCTTATAGGTGCTGAGCATAATTACTCAATGGGAAAATAATCATCCTGCCAATGTCCTTAGCTTTAGGATTTTATTTACATTAATGTTGCTTAACCTGTTTATTATGATAATTATTATCTTTAATAATATTGTATTACTGCTACTTTAATCTACAATGTCTAGGACATTCAAGCTCCTTAAACGCTTCTGGGAAGCATGTATATGTTATTCTTTTCAGATTTAAAGCTATAATTATTATGATGTAGACTCCAGCGACTGTAAATATGTGTGTGAATATACTGTACATGCAAGGTAGATGTATATATTGTATATATGTGAAGGGATAAATAGTATATATGTTAATATCCTATATATTGATTTTTTCACTGTGTCAAGCTTTCTGTAGTACACATGGTACAAATTGTAAGCTGGTTTTACTTTGCCTCAGTATTGCCATTTTGGAATGGGTCTAATTTTATTGAACTCTGACCCCCAGGTGGTTGTAAAAAGAATGACTTAAGGTTTGACTTGTTCATACCTGCTTAAGGGTACTGAATTGTGCAGTCAAGTACAAAAGACATCCTTTTATAATAAAACTATCAAAATTATAAAATGTTTTTATGCACTGATTCTTCCTCTCTCTTTCACTTTGAAAAGACAACACAACACAAAATAAAATAAAACAAATACCTAGCATGGTCAATTGACACACACGGTGTCAGTCAGGCTGAGAGTATTACTCTACCATTGACTTGTCCTCCACAAACAACATTCTTGTTCATGTGGGATGAGAGCGACCTCTACCGGACATTTGAAGGATTTACACGGACATGGTTTAATGAATTTACATTGACACCTTATTGGAGCTTACAATTCATTTGTATGTTAACATATCAGTTATTCAAAAGCTAAACCAAATTAAGTCTGCAGTTAATTTGTCTCACCTTACCTTACAAGACCATGGGCTAAACACATTTGGTTGATTGACTTTTGTGTCCACTAGGTGGTGGTTTTTGATCAGCAGAATATTTGACATCATTGTGACCATGTTTTTTTATGTATGTTGCCGTAAATTCGATCTAGCTTTAAACTGGAAAAAAACAAAACATGATCGGTACAACTGTATGCAGCCAAACATTATACCTTGGCTTGAGACATATTGAAGACATGCTGACACACATCAGCTTAATGAGGTCATGAAATGCAAGCTCAGCTTCTGGCTGTCAGTCAGGACGATGGACAGGATTGTTGCCAAGCTGTCAGTGTGTCTTTTATATAACCACTGGAACCTGGTGGCTTTTTGTCATGTATTATTATGGACTGTAAATATGTGTCCATATCAATTTGGCAAAGCAAAATGAGACATTGCCTACTTTATCTAATTATAAACATTTAAAACATTGAGTCAAAGGGCAGTCAAATGCATACTTTTTACTATAAAACACCATATAGGCAATGCATCTATGTTTTTGGCAGCACATTATTCAGCTGAATAAATAACTTGAAACATTTAATTAATATAACATATCTGTACATGGAAGCATGAATGGTCACAAGTGATTCTTGCTAACATAGATACAACAAATAATATTATTATACCTGTCTATGATTAAACACTCGTTAAAAACCAGTTCAATGTGATGTGTAGCAGACACTACTATTAACTCACCAGGACCCTGAAAGAAGAATTGACCAAGGGAATTAATCTCATTGTAATAGGATTTGTTGTATTGCTTTGCATATGACTATCCAGGGTCACCTTTGTGCCTCATAGTCTAATCCAGGAAATGGACCTGAATCCAAAACTGAAAATGAAACCAAACCAGCACACCCTGTAAAATAAAAATAATTTGTAGGATGATAATGATAATTCAGGTCAGATGTTTCCATGTGTGCATTCATGCATTTCAAAAAGATTGCCTGAAAGTCTTGGTGTTCATATCCGCGTTATATTGACTTGGACGTACAACACAGATCTAATCTTAACCTTTAGCAAGGCTAGTATAGGCTATTTCTAACACCGAACATGGTCGTCTTACGGTTGTATCCTACGACGGCATAATGACACATATTTATAAAATATATTTTGATAATTTCTGTTTTGATTTGAGGTTTACATTCATTTGCATTTTGGAGACCTTGGAGCCTTTGGAGACTCTCGAGCTTTAAAGCACCGTTAGTATAAATAGTCTTTGCATTTATGTATGCCAGCTCACTTAATGAAAAAAGGGCGCAATTAATTGTATGAGGTAGGCTACACCTCTGAGTTTCCTGTAGCGATAAATTAAAATTTAGGAAATATATCTTTATTTATCCAGAACATGTTTGTTATGCTTTTATGCACATCATTGGCTTTTTTTTTGTTGCGTTCAGGCCAGAAATACAAGTCAGGTAACTTCCGATTTTCATCTTTGTTTGGGAATGTTTTAAAGGAAGCTACATGATGAAGCGACCAGCGTGACTTTTACAAATATGGACTGTTTTACGTTTAACTTTCACTTAACCGCACTGGTTAAACCAACGGACAATATAACTTTATAAAATGGATGGAAGACAATTTACACCCACTGTTTTCTTTTGGCTTGGCAAACTTTTACTAAATTGCCATGCTATTAGCTCCGGGTAGCACTCCGCACTCTGCCGGTCCCGCCTGTTCGGTGCAGGGGAACGGCTGTCCTGCTCGGCTCTCAAGCTCCATCATCTCAGCGCAGGCGTGTTGAACCGCAGGCAGGGGGCGGCAACATGGCGGTGACAGCAGCACAGAGAGGCGCATTGAGAGAGCGGCACTCTCACATACACAGCGCGGGGCAGTCTGCTCAGTTTACCGGCTGGTACCTACAACACAGCGGACTCTCTTACCGGGACTCTCCGGATTGGATTTAACTGACAGAGTGATTTATTGCTTCTGTTTTGTTGTTGTTTTTCGCGGTTTCGCGAGTGTTCCTCTCTTTCATTTATTTTGGATCTCCAGAGCAGTGATTGGATTTATTGCAAGGAGATAGCGTGTGACCGGTTTATAACCACCCGGCTTGGGTGGACATGACAAGCGAGAGACCGGTGACAATGCCCGGCTCTATGTCTCTCTCGGACCGACAACCTCCTCCAGGTCACAGGCAGCACGCAGCTGCAGTCTCCGCTGCCGCCGGGGAGACAACGATGATGTCCGGCTCAGGTTCAGTGGTGTTTCCGGCTGGGGTTATCAATCCATCGGTTCCAATCCGGAATATCAAAATGAAATTTGCTGTTGTCATCGGACTGATCCAGGTTGGAGAGGTTAACAACAGGGATATTGTTGAAACGGTGCTGAATTTGGTAAGCCCCCCCCTTTTTTTGTAAAGAGAATACTGTTCAGTGGCAACAATTGAATGTAATGTTGGCAAACACTATTTTAACCTCAAAACTGTGCAAACGAGTATTATATTATGCAGTGCTAATATAAGTAGGCCCACTCCTGGATATGTGAGAGTAAACACAATCGATACAATTAAAAGTCACACATTTTCACAGACAGGGTAGTTTAGGAATACAACATTTTCTCAAGTTTTGAAGTTCAGCAAAGTCCCAACTTCCTCGTGCCTGCTTATGAAGGATGTGGATGATGTCAGGTAAGGTGAAGGTAAAGGCTTTATAAATACCTTTAGCCTGATGGTGCAGCACTAAATATCAGAAGAGGTTTTTTGTTTAATGAACTGATGTGGGTGAGCAGAGCCAGGGGACATCTGCTGTTGCTGTGTGTGGAATAATGCAGGGGCCCTGGAACTAAGGGTCTCCATATAATACCAGGGATCACTAGTTTTGTCAGGGTGTCTTTTGGGAGTCCAGAATTACTGGTGGTCAGCGTTTGGTTATAATGTGGCCAGTGAAGCTCCTCAGCAGTGTTGTGAAGACAATGAATATTCTTGCTGTATACTAGACCTGCTCTTAATTTATGCGGGGTTTTGTAGTCACAATCACCCTCTAATGAGATTAACCCAATATTGTAAGGTATTGTAATGCTCCACTTTTTAAACAGGCCTGGAGAGTCATTTATCTTAATTAATTGTATGATTAACTGCTGCCAAAGTAAGAGAATAATGAGACATAATAGTTGTGAGTACAAGTTGTTTGGTGGTTTAAACTGATAGTATGACCAGAGTCGCCAAACAAAGGCTATTTCATCCACAAGTATACAGTGTCACATGATATGAAGAGACTGTAGAGCTCCTTCATACCTTTGTTGTCTATCTGCAGGAGTACCACACTAGGGCCTGTTTGCAATAGGTGGACTGCCCTTGTTACTACACTAGAGATGAATTACAACCCATTCTGGCACAACAGAGATCCACTTTGAGGAGCAAGACTAATTGTAGCCCTTGGCATGCTCAGACATGAGTTGTACTGCAATAGCTTGAGTCTCCGACACCTTGCCCCCTTTCACTTTGCAGGTTTTTTCTCACATGTGTGCACGAGAAATAACGCACTGCAGTCTACAGTGTTTTTTCAACACTTATTTGAATTGCTTTTAATAATTTCTCAATTTGATTAAAGCAGTGCATCAGTGCCAACGCTGCCTTTTGATCCTCTGTGCATTTTTTACATTTTAAACTAATTTGTGAATACAACATAGTGTACTTTATCCAAACATTTCTCAGTCGCCTAAACTTGAAATGATATATTAACAATTTGCTTTACTTGATGTGTTTACAAACAGAAATACAACTTTACCCAAATGATGTGCAGACAAATAAACAACAGTAGTTGTTATATATCACAAACTGCATTAATAATGCTAGCAAAGGATGCGGGTAGAGAAAGCTGTCATTTAAACCTCCTATCTGTAATATACCATGACTACAGAAATGTCATAAATTCAGCATATTTTTGAAGTGTTGTACAGAGGGCCTGGAGATCCAAAAGCCTCCGTAGTATCTCATGGGGTCCAATTTGTGAAGTAATGAAATAATAATGTATTTCCCTTTTCAAGGAGCATCATGGAACAATTGTAGTTAGATGTTCAGACCAGGATCCCCTATTATGAAAAGGTGTCTTAATCTCTTATTTAAAAACCAAAATGTATAGAGAGTTCTTGTTGAACTGCAGAGATGGGAAATTGACTAATACAGTGGATCTGATATTTCCCTTTCTTTTTACCAGAATGAGAGCCTAAATGGGCACCTGCCATCAGAAAGGTACATCTCTATGATGTTTGAAAAAGGGGATTTGTCCCATACTCAGATGATACTTGTCAGCTGGCTTACTGCCTTCTTCAAGATGAGGAAATAAGAGAGATTATTCATACTTTGCTAATTGTTACTTTGTATGAATCATTCAATGAACTTCTCTGACAAAAGAGAAAATCACGTAACTCAACAGCCTTTCCCTTCCCCATTAAAGTCACGTATGTTCTAATGGATAATGGAGAGAGTTGTGAATTAGGAAAAGCTTTCAGGGCACATCCTCATCTTAATCCTCATGACATGTGGGAGTAACTCAAGATTTCTCACATGCTGTCTCAAAGAGGTTGATGCATTAAAGAAACTCTTGGTGCTTTTGACTGTCATATTAAATCAGAGATTATTACCAAGCTTATTTCAGATTCCTGAAACATGCACTCACACCTTTAGACAGTACG